ACTATTAGTGAGATTTACTACAGAAATGGCTTAATTTCTGTATAATTAACCACATAACACCACCTAGGAAAATGTCATTTGATTTTTAACAAAGAATTACTGCCTTTACTGATGTTTTCAAGAGGAAATGAATTAAATATTTTAAGAAACTTTTACATTAAACAATATACCATCAGATAAGATTCTAAAGAAACACTCTTGGATGGAATTGAAACATCAGCGTTCAGGACCCATATATTCAATGGAATAGCTAGTAATATTAAAAATAGTAATAGTAAATTTAACTTAAAATTAAATTAAATTTAAAGAAACATTAACTATGAGTTATGTGCCTGGCAATATTCTAAGTCTTGTGTATGTATTAAATCATTTCACACTGAAAACAATCCTCTGAGGCAGGCACTACTCCATTCTACCACTGAGCAAACAAAGGCACAGAGTAATGATTCCCCTTACCCAGCTCACACAGCTAAGCTTGTATTCCCATCGAGATTGCTTTCTTCACCACTATGCTCTACCTTTTCTCTAAAAGATATTTATTAACCATATTTTGGTAGCTAATCTATACACTGATCTAATAATAATTTTCATTTCTAATTTTTTTCACATTGTAAATAGAAGAAAAAGACAATCAGCTGCTGTCATTTTCTAGTTGTACAATATTAGGTGTATCCCTTTTCCTCTCTGAGTTGTAGCTTTAGTAAAATGGGACTTGGAACATCTACCTAGATACCTGAATATTCTTCTTTCACCCCATGTTTCTTTGCAAGCCAGACAGTATAAAAAAAAAAAACAAAAAAACTTTTAGGAAGATTGAGTTAGATGAGGCATATGAAAATGTTTAAGAAAATATAGCATGCTATGTCACATATAAATTTACTTTTATTAATATTTATTATAACTCTTATGATCAATGATATAAAAATATAAAAGTAATTTAACTATCCCTGTTCCCCTCTTCTATATTTGATTCTTTCATATGATGATACTGTAGAAGAATAGGAAATATAAACCTATTTATTCATAACCAATTAAAATAACCTAGCAAATTAAAAATTTAAAAAACCTCACAAATATTCCCCTGGCTTTAACCAGAGTGAAAGAATTTTTTTTAACTCAAAATTATGAGTATATAAGACAAAAACAAATAAAATAAAGCAAATCAGCCAAACTGGTATCATTGTGAGAGAATTCATATTGATCTTAATTATTTTTGATAAACAGAACACATATCTAAATGCCTGATGAATTTAGGTAAATAGATTTAAATGAAAAACTACAAAAGTATGTTGCTTTCTTACTTGTTTTAAATCATTCTTTCTCTACTAGAGGGAAATGAAAATAAAATTCCAAAAGCTAGTAAGTTTTAAAATGCCTAAAACATGAGTAAACAACCAGATTGCTCCTTAGTCTTGAATTTCTTAAATTGATCTTTTTAAAAATTAATTTCTTATATGCCACTTGAAAAAAAAAAAAACTTTCCTTAAAACTACAACTGGGGCTTCCCTGGTGGCGCAGTGGTTGAGAGTCCGCCTGCCGATGCAGGGAACACGGGTTCGTGCCACGGTCCGGGAAGATCCCACATGCCGCGGAGTGGCTGGGCCCGTGAGCCATGGCCGCTGAGCCTGCGCGTCCGGAGCCTGTGCTCCGCAACGGGAGAGCCCACAACAGTGAGAGGCCCTCGTACCGCACACAAAACAAAACAAAACAAAACTATAACTGGTGATTGCAGCTAATGAACTACTGCTAAAAATAATTACAAGGTAATTATATATATGCATATACGTATATATATATAAATATATAAAATATCCTTTTTCAGAAAAATGTGAGTCTTGTGATGTGCTAGATACTGTGCTAATTGCTACTAGTTCATGAAGATATTATAGTGAATAAGATACAGATGACCCCTATTTTCATTCAGTTTTAACTGTATCAAGGCAGCTATATATTTAATAGTTTTTGAAAATGTAATTTTGTTATGTGCCACAAAAGGTAGGTATAGGGTAATATAAAAATGTATAATAGGTAAAACTAGTGAAGTTTGAGGCTTTAGAAAAGACTGCCCTAAGGAAAAAAGATTTGCAAATGAAGGATTTTGTCAGGTATGGCAGGGGGTATCTGAGTAGAGTGATTTCAGAGGGGAGAACAGAAAAATATACAGAATTTAGAGTGGAAGGAAGTTGGTACATTCATTGAACTGAAAGGCGGCTTGCTTGACTGGAGCAGAGCCATCAACGGGGAGACCCATGGGAGACCATTCATGCAAGGCCAAGAGGTCAGCTGGAGGACACTGCAGCCATTGAAGCCATTCAG